CATGTCTAGTGAACTTTTCAGTTCAAAGGTGCTACAAACCAACAGACTTCGGGAATGTAAGCCGATATCAGATCCATAATTTTTCTGATGCCAGTGAGAATGGATATGGAACTGCTTCATATCTCCGCATCATTAATGATGATGGGAAGATTCATTGTTCCCTCCTACTAGGGAAATCACGGGTTGCACCCTTAAAGAAGGTAACCATCCCTCGTTTGGAGCTCACTGCTGCAACTGTATCAGTGCGAATTAATAAGATGATACAACGGGAGCTGGATTATAAGATCAATAATACATTTTTCTGGACAGACAGTAAATCAGTTCTTAGATACTGTGCAAATGAGTCAACTAGATTTCACACCTTTGTTGCTAATCGTGTGGCAGTTATTCGGGAAGAATCAAAAATGCAACAATGGAAGTTTATTGACACAAAATGCAATCCTGCAGATGATGCATCCAGGGGGTTAATAGTGAATTCGTTCTTACAAAATAAGCGATGGTTGGAAGGTCCTTCATTTTTGTGGCAACCTCAGTCAGAATGGCCATCAGGAAAATCCGACTGGGTGATTCCTGATGGTGATCCAGAAGTGAAGAAGCAAGTCAATGCTATGGTAGTTAATGAGTCTGCTACAGTTATGGACAGACTGACATATTTCTCCAATTGGATGAAACTAAAAGCAACAGTTGGATGGTTACTGGTAGCCAAGGACAACCTTAAGAATTGGGTTGTTGAACGAAAGAAGATCAAAGAAAGTCTTATGGAAATGGGAGTTGACTCAAGTCAGCAAAGTCAACTAGTGAAACAAAGAATGAAAAATATAAAGGTAGCAGCTATGAAACAGGCCAAGGGCAGTTTCAGACACCAAGCACTGAGTGTGGAAAGATTACAAAAGGCAGAAAAGGCAATCCTCGGATATGTTCAGCAGCAACACTTTTCTGATGAAATAGCAGCTCTACAAGATTGTAAAAGCACTGGGAACAAGAAGTGGGTTAAGAGATCAAGCCCATTATACAAGTTAGATCCATTTTGGCAGAATGGACTTCTGCGTGTAGGTGGAAGACTTGATCGTTCAGCTCTTCCAAATGAGATGAAGCATCCTGAAGCATCTCACATTTCGCGACTAATTTTGGAAGACATCCACAGATGTGTTGGACATCTGGGAAGAAATTCTATGCTAGCAAAGTTGCGACAAAAATATTGGATTCTATGTGCAAACACTCTCATAAGACAGATAGTTTCAAGATGTGTCTGCTGTCGTCGTTACCGAGCCAGAGCTGGAGAGCAGATGATGGCTAATTTGCCTATTGATCGTTTAACCCCAGGGGAAGCACCATTTAATCGTACTGGTGCAGATTACTTTGGACCATTAGAAGTCAAACGAGAACGCAGTAGGGTCAAGAGGTATGGAATAGTTTTTACATGCTTGACAACCCGTGCAATACATCTTGAGGTGGCACACTCTCTTGACACAGACTCCTGTATTAATGGATTAAGACGGTTCATAGCCAGAAGAGGGCCAGTCAAAGTGATAAGGTCAGATAATGGTACAAATTTTGTAGGGGCTAAAAGAGAACTTCAAGAAGAAATTGCAAAATGGAATCAAGTGAAAATAAGTGGGGCATTACGTCAAGACAATGTTACATGGACGTTCAACCCTCCAGCTACATGGACGTTCAACCCTCCAGCTGGTTTGCATTTCGGAGGCATCTGGGAATGTCAAATTAGAACAATAAGAAAGATTCTATTCTCCCTGCTCAGAGACCAAATGATAAGTATAGATGATGAATCACTTCAAACACTATTCTGTGAGGTTGAAGCTATCATAAATAGTCCCCCATTACTCGAATTTCAGATGACCGAAACGATCTTGAGGCACTCACACCCAATCATTTATTATTGCTTCAAACAAATCAAAACTCACCACCTGGTATATTTACAAATAGCGACAATTATGCTCGTCGCCGATGGCGGCAGGTCCAGTACCTTGCTGACATATTCTGGAAGAGATGGACTAAAAAATATTTACC